TATATATATATATATATATATTAATCCTTTATCTTTTAAAATATTTATTTTAGTTTTTTATCTCTTAAATTTGGACTAATTCAAAATTTGAAACTTATCTTATTAGATTCACTTATAAAAGAACAATTGAAATTCAAATAAAAAAAATGTTACAAACATGACGAAAATTGCATGAAAATGAGTCCAAAAAGGCAATTGAAAATTTTTTAAAATTATAATTTCATACTATTTTCTAGTTATTTTTTAGACATATTTTTCACACGATTTTCACTATGTATATAAATCTTTTGGATTCGAATGTCAATTGAGTTTCATAATTTTTATATAATTGAATCTAATGTTACAAGTTTTCCGTCTTAAATTAGCCAAAAAATTGATTCAAAATTACATTGTAAAGTTAAAAATAATTATTGTTTTAAAAGGACCAAATTGATCCAAACATAAAAATAAAAGATCAAAATGAATATTTTAATAGATAAAAGACTAAAATAAATCTAAAAAATAAGATAAAAGATCAAAAGTATAATTTTATATATATATGTGTGTGTGTATATATATAAATATAAATATATATATATAGAGAGAGAAAGAGAGAAAGAGAGAGAAAGCAGGAGAAGAGAGAGAGAGTGAATGAGTAAATGAGCAAGCGAGCGTATTAAGTGAGATGAATATTTATAATGAGAAGATGAGAAAGATAAATCTGAATTATACATGGATGGTTTGAATTAAAATTTATTTAATAATCACATGAATACTTAAAAAAAATCACAATTTTTTTAATTTAATTTTAATCAATTATGTATGTTTGTATGGTTAAAAACTAAAAACATAATTTAAGTTCTTGTTAAAAAATTATAACATTGAAATTTTTTCACTCTTTGCAAAACTAACTGTCTTCTTCTTCTTCTAGACCCACCTAAGTTGTAGGAAAGGGGTTGATAGTGGTGAAGGGTTCATAGAGCTTGGTAATAAGGGGTAGAAAGAGTAGTGACGCAACTACGGGAGTTTCAAAGTTCTTCTCCTCTCTTCCTCTTTTCTTCCCATCCAGAGAGCTTAGAATTGAGGTAAAGATAGTTAGGACTTGATCTTGGTGGATGATTGTGTGACTTTTCATGTTACATGTGTGGTATGAATGCTCGTTGATGCATAATTGTTTGAATGTTAAACTGATTTGCAAAGAGACTTGGTGTTCTTAGTTTCTTGGAAATTTTTGTGGTATTTGGAGTTTTTGGGGGAACTTTGATTTTGCACCCAAATTCTTATTATGAGTTGTTTTGTTGTGGAAATTAATGTATTTTGGTTGTTTAGATGAGTTTTTATGGTTTAGAATTGAGATTGGAGCTTGTAGGAAGCTTGGGATGGAGTGGAGAGGTTTAGGGGTGTCTTTAGAAGGAAATGGCTGAGCCGTTTTGAAACGGCTAAGTGGAATTGGATATTAGAATTAGGGGTGTTTTTGGAAGGAATCCACTAAACGATTTTGAAACGGTTGAGTGGTTCAGTGCTTTCTGAATTAGACTTTGTTGTCTTTATAGAAGTTGTAGCCCTAGATGTTAAATTTTCAATAGCTTTGGAATCACCTAAAAAGGTGGTCTAAAACTTCAATTGTGATCTTTTTAGTGAACAAAGGCCAAGTTGTCAGTATTTAGGTAAATTGTTGTGATTTTTGTAATTTTCACTATAGTAGATGATGGAATTAAAACTTTAAGGCTTCATAAGTGTTGTAGATAATATTCTTATTTTTCATATGAGATAAAAATGAGTTTGATTGAATTAGTGGAACTCCAATTATGTTGAGTTATGTGAAGGTTGTCTTTGTACTATAGTTGATTTTGGTAAGTTGAATGTTGATACATGTTGTATGATGATGATGACAAGCATCAATATGTTATTAGGTTAAGCTGCCTAGCATTGATATGCTATGTGTGATTAATATGTTATAAATTGCACGGTTGAAATGTTGAATAAGCATTGATATGCTATTATTAAATAAATTGTTGAGCATTGAGATGTTATTCTTGGTTGAGGTGTTAAGCATTAGTATGCTATACATGATTGGTGTGATTTGATCTCTACATGCATTGACCTGGGGAAATGTATATAAAAGATGTATGTTGAGGTGTTGATACTAAGAATGCTACAAACATTAAGACATGTAAATTGACTTAGGACTAGAGGAGAGGATATTGTTTAGAAAGTGAATATCTCATATAGGGAATCTTATTTTGGTGCTTTGGGAGGTCAATTGTTGAAAACCCTCTCTGAGTAGGTGTGAAACTCTTTGAGTGGATTTTGTTGAGTCTCCTCTATGTCCTTAGTTAATGTAGAGTAAAGTATGAAGTCAAGGGCTACAACTCCTAACTGATTACTGACAAGGTTGTGTGATTCCTTGCAAATAGTTAGTGGACTAACACTACATGTGACTTGGTAATGTATGTTAAGATCGTGGTACGCCTATACCCAATTATATTATTCCTGACGATGGAATCAAACTTTTCTAATATAAGTGGCGACATCTGAGAAATCAGAAATTAGGGATTAGTATCCCATTTTAGCTATGATCGAGTGAGCGCATTTTGGTGTGAAAATAATTGAGTTGATTCGATAGGTCACTTAAATTGTTCTAGTGTGTTAGGAGATCTTCGTAGGTGAATACGTGACAACACATTAGTTGAGGTGTTTTCGCATGATGTGTTGTTGATTAGTGTGTTCATATGCATTAGATGAGTATATTATTGTTTGATATGACTTAGTGTGCAGCTTTCAAACATATTGGTGTTGTGTTATTTGGTGAGTGTTGTAAACCATAAGGTGGTTGGTTGGTTTACATGTTGGTGAGTAGTATAAATGTTATTTCATATACTAGTATGCTTTTGAAATTTAGTTTATCCTTGCATGCTTTTTATGTGGTTTGGATTGCGATGATCATGATTTTTCATGGGAATAGGATAGGGTTAGTCAGAGCGGACTTCATGGAGATGTTGTAGGGCCATTTCGATGGTATAATCTTGTATTGGACTATTTTTTATGGTCTGTATAATAGTGTTTGACCAGCATTTAAGATTCTATATTGTTTTATATAAGATGATTGTACATATACTGTATATATAGTTGTTCTTAGTTGGACTTGTACTTATATATATGTCATAGTGTGCATATCTATGTACAGTGAATATAAAATCTTAAGCATGTGAATAGTTCTGTTATTAGTTGGTGATTTCACGAAATATAGTGATCACGACGTATAATTACAAAAATTGTATTTATGTTTTACTAAAAATAATAAATAGAACTAAGAAATAAAATAGACAAAAATATTTTCAGTCCTTACAAAATTTGTTAGTTTTGATTTTAATTTATGGAAAAGAATTTATTTATTTTTCATCCTACTAAAACTGAAACTATTATTTTTATTTTTTAATCTTTATGTGATCATTTTTAACCACTTTTTATTTATTAAAAAAATAAATGAACATCCTAAATGTTGCATAATATTACTAATGATATTATGTCAATGTTTGACACCTTTAAAATTTCGTATAGATCAATAAAATAATTATCATTTATTTACCTTAAAATAGTCAATATAAATCATTAAAATAATTAATATTTATTTATCTTAAAATAATCGCTAAAAATTAAAAATAGCAACTTTAAATTTTAGAAAGATAAAAAATTGTTATTTTTTTATAGAAAGCAAATTAAAATGTATTTATTTTACTAGAATAAAAAATAATATTTATAAATTTTAGAATAATAAAAACAAAGAAAAGAATATCACAAAGATAAAAATTAAAACTATTTAATTTTAGAGAACTAAAAATATATTTAAGTGAATATAATATTTCTTATTTTGCCACCAAATCACATTTTTCCGTTAGCTATGTGTATAGAAGAACATCTATATCGAAGAATATTTGTTACTAGGGGTGAGATTTTTAATAAATTTCAGTATTATGAGAGATTAGCCGGTGGCTCTCTTTAGTTCACTTAAAATAATTAAATAAATGCTATACCTCAAAACAAAATCTTTCCTTGCTATGCAATAGTCTTTTATAGCAAAGAAGCACTTTTATTTTCCCCATTTTTCAGAATTTTATTCACATTGTCATCGTTAAGAAGATTAAAGTAAAACTTGGTAAAAAGGGATATTAGATTTTTTTTTTCTTCTGGTTCGGACAAAAGGGATATTAGACGAGTACACATAAGTAATTTTGAGAAAATTTCCACACACACTATTACAAGCTTTGAATTATGATTTACGCTAAACATCTTATCTATCTCAACAATTACTAGTACTTATCTTTGAATTATTTAATTTTTCTTCATCTTTTATTTATATATATATATATATTAAATTTATCAGTCAATTCAAATTAATGAAAGAAAATATATTAAATAATCTTAAAACTTTTAAAATTTTATAAGTTTAATCTATATTATAAAAAAATTTAATTCAACAATTAAATTATTAAAAATTTTATATAAAATATAAGTTATTAAATAGAATAAATTTATTGTTGGAGTAAGTGAATCAATCTTATATATATATTTAAAAATTTTGATTCATTGATATTCAAAATTTGAATCTAACACCTTGAACATTCTATATCTTAACTTCCATTGGTGTATATTACTTCAACCCTCATTGTTAGACCTATCTCAATAATTCTTTCAGTCTTGTATAATAAAAATATCCAATATTTTTATATTAATATTATTTAAATTTCTAATTATATATTTGGTAATTATTTTAAACTAAAAAAATTTGATTTAGAAACATATATAATAATGTGATAGCATGTCTTTCTAGTTGTATACACGATAATTTTGAAACATGTGTAACCGTATAATGACACAATAGTATTAAGAAGATAATAATGCTTCAAAAAAATTAGGTTAAAAAAAGTAGTAATTTTATAGTTTTGATATCTAAAAAATTATATTTAATGATGATTATAATAAAAATGCAATAAAAAAATAGAATTAAAAACCCAGTCCAAAGATTTAGAAAATGTCTGTTTCCAATGAAGGCTCAGTTCAAGTCCAATTCATCCGTTAGCTAAATGCATGAGTTTTGAAGCAAAATGAAAGAGAATGGAGATTGGATCACATCAGAATAAAGAACTGTTCACAAAAAGAAACAGATGGAGCGAAGAGAAGCATGGCTACTAAGGTTGAATACGAATAGAGAACATAAAAAATATGGGTTCCAAACTTCCAATGAAGTCAAAACAGATGGAGAAAAGGGTTTGATGTTGTTGCCTGCTGGAGAGAAAAGAGTTTTAAGGCCAGAAAAACCCATAAAGGGCTAAAAATTTATAGTTGTTTTAGCAATATGAACTCGGATGTTCTGTGTTTTGCTTCAACACTATGTCCTTGTGACTTCTATTAACAACATTCTATTTTCTCACTTTTCCATGAAGGAAGATTTCCTCCAAAGAGAATACAAAACAGCCTAAGATTAGTCTTCTATCTCTACGAAATGTAACCCAATCGGTATATTAGTGCAGGCAACTATGTCTTTATAACTTCTATTTATACTAATCAATTTCCAAATGAGCTTTCAGTAAATCTCGAAACTCAAGTAACTGTGTCCCAATGATCATCAACATATGGGGAATTGAGTACATGTAGCACATTATTCATTTGTATGTAATCAGTGCTTAGATTCAGCATCACATTATCTCTGTATTCAATGTTAAACATAGTATAAATATTATAGCATGTGTAAACTGTTATATAAGTTTTCATTCAAATTCTATATGGTATTGGTAAGCCACCCATTCCACTAACTAGTGGTGCTCTACGCATACCCCTTCTCTGGTGCGTCCACGAGATACTACTATTAAGTAGTCCATGAGCACCAAAGCTTGCAACCTTTTCCAATTAGTTGCAAACTTTTCTAGTGGCTACTTTCTTGACTCACACCCACTCTTAGTCAAATTCCTAACAATCCGAGTAAACCTTTTCTGCAATTCAAATTGATTTCATTTTCAACCTAAAATTGCCAGACAAGTATTCGAAATTCAATCTCACCCACTAGCATTTGTTAACACCATACATCCCAAACAAAATCGCATCAGAAACAATAATAATCGATAATCATGGCTGAATATGTCAAAATTAAGAGAAACACACATATTTAACAACAAAATAGATAATGGTTGAGGACTTACATGAATGTGATCGACAACGTAAGACAAAATATCGAGAAACTGTAGAGGAAACTAGCCGGAGAAACATCCATTTTTATTCGATGCGGAAAATCACTTGTATGCCAAAGGCAATGAAAAATCGAAACACCTTTTGATCACGTTTTCGAAATGCGACAGAGGAAGACGATTGTTTAATCACGTAACACCATGGCGGAGTGCACCGAAGAAAGTATGGTGGAATGAAAAGAACCCTAAAATAATTATTGCATGGAAAAAAGGCATGGAAACTAGACTCGTTCTTTAAAAGCACGTAGTGTGTGTTTCAGAATTAAGATCCGCTCCGTGAGGTGCTCGATGATCAAAGATGTGCCATCGGTAGAGCTTTCCTCAATACAACCTCTATATATTTATTTAAAATATAAAAACTTAAAATATCATAATTTATAACTTACATATTTTAAATAAAATTTTAGTCCTCAATTTTTAAAAATTTTAATTTTTAGTCTCTCTTAACATATTTTGCTAATTTTTTATACTTTATTAATTTTTTATGACATAATTATTTGAAGGATGTCAAATCATATAAAATATTTTTTTAATTCATTTGTCGTGATAATAATAATATAGACAATAACATAAATTAAATAAAAATTATGATTGATATTAATTTTTAAATTAAATAAAAATAAATAAGTAAGATTTGACGTGAAAGTTTAATAAAATCATTAGATTATAATACAAATCATGGATAAAAACTTGTTTAACTCTTTTAATGTTAAATCAATGTCATTCAATTCCTTTCCTTAAAATTTATATATAAAAATGAATGTTTTGATATATTTTATCCAAACCAATTCCTATCTAGACATGACAATTATTTAATGTATAAATATTAGTTGATTTATATTTATTCTTATAATAATTGTTTAGGTTAAGTATGTTATTACTTCATGTAAATAAAGAAATATTTACTTTTTAGCATTGAGAGTTACCAAAGAAACATTAAAAGCTAATTGCCCCTGGGTTAAAAACTACCCATGCCTTCATTATAATGTAGATCAGTTGGGCTGGCATGCCAAACAAACATTACATCCAAAGAATTAGCAACTTCATTTGCCAACCAATTAGTACTCTTATCTTATGCTGTGTTGGGTAGAGAAGAAAAACAAAGTAAAAAAATAGAGAGAGAGAAACTTGAAAAAAGAAAAGTAGGTGAAAAAAATAAATAAGAAATAAAAAAAAAATTGGTTATTTGGGTGAGAAATATTATTATGTATGTTTAATAAGATGGAAAGAAATAGGTGAAAAATAAAGTATAAAAAAAGAGATGAGAGAAATGCAAAAATAAAAATAAACAAAAAGTAAAGAAATAGAAAATAAAAAATTATGAATTATTTATTTTAATCAATTAAATAAAATTATATAACTAAATAAATAATATTTTAAAATAAAATAAATAACTAGTTAGAAGTAAGTAAATAATTCTAAAGTAAAATTAAATTAGATTCAAAATTAATTAAAATAATAAACTTAAATTGAGTAAATAAATTTAATGTATATAAACAATTAAAAAATCATATAAAACTTAAAATTTCAATCGAATAAAAAAAATTGTAATCAATTCAAAGTTTCGAAAGTAAACATTACTTTTATTTATTCGATTAAAAAAATTACGATTTCGGTATAGAAAAACAATTTAATTGATTGGGAGTAATATGTTATTAATCGATTACGAATAAATTTCAACACGTGTATTATTCATTTTCGTGCATATTTGTAAATGCACTTTTTTTTTTGTTTTTTTTCTTTACTGTCATATTTTTTTACAACCAAACAACTATCAATTTTTGTTTCCTTCTTTATAAGAATGCGTGAAGGACAAAGAATTACACATAGTAAACGTAGGTATCATTGAAACAATTGTTGCATGAGGGTGAGTAAGAGGGTGCCCCATTGTTACTAATTATCATGAAAGCTACACTGGATTCAGCTTCGCAATTAACTGATGTTATAATCCTTTATCCCAAGCAATTGAAAACCCATGATATAAATAGCCATGATCTCAGCATATTGCAAGTTATCTGCCATAGGAGAGAGTCACCTTGTCGGAAAATATCCTTAATAACTAGATTAGTGTCCGAGATGTGAACATATTTGTGAAAAGAGTCACATGGTCTATCACATAAACAAAATTTTTGTTTTGAATATTCTTTCATTTATTATAAAAGTAGAATCGTAGCACAATTCCTCAATCAAAGAGACTAGCTAGAAGGAAACAATTTTCCAAAACTAAAAACAAACATCATTCAATTTACAGAGATTAAAAACATTTATCATTTTAGAAAAACATGTAATTGAATTAATTTTTAATTGAAAATAGTTTTATTATAACATGGCAGAGGTGGACCTTGTGGTGTCAAGTAAACAAGTGCGACATGAGGGTGGACACCTACAAACATTTTGATGTTAAGATTTACGCCTAATAGGAGAGTAAAATAGCTCCCCAAAAAATCGTGCCTTCAAGACAAAGATTCATTGGTATTAATTAATTAAATAAAGATACTTTACATTATATTAAATTAAAATTTTAAATTAATTACACAATTTTATTTATTTAATTAGAGTTATTGCATTTTATATTGGCCATTATTATTTTAGATAGCTTAATATTTAGTCTTTGTCATGTTTCAATTTCTTTAAGTATTATTTAACCAACGTAATATTTAAATTCGAGAGACAAACATTTACACAATATTTAATGATGATGAGATGAATATATAATATGTAATTAATAATTAGTTTTTTTAACAAAAATAGTTTAATTTAGAATTTTAAAGTGTCATTATTATATGAATATAAGTTTATTGTTGTAAACATTTACTGAACTTTTCACATGTATAGATATGTATTTTTTTTATATTTTATATTTTTCAATTATATATGTGGCAATTAATGGTTGTTTTAAGTAGTGATTGTTAATTTATAAAAAAAAATCTAGATATATTTGACATTTATATCCCTATTAGCATATTTGAGAATTTGAATTTATTGATAAGATCACTGTTTTTTTAAATATAATAATTTGTTAAATTTTTTTATTTTATTTTGTTTTATTTATTATTATTCTAGGTCTTTATAAATAATGAATAAGAACCACCAGGTCAACCTAGTAAAAAGAGAGAGTTGGGGTAGTATACTAGAAGTCCTAGGTTTAAACCCCAATGCAACAATTCTATACAACAAAACAACGACAAAAAAATGAATATTTTAGATAATAAACAAAGTTTGCTGAGCTACTTAGATTTATAGATCTTGTATAAAACAGGCTATACAAGTATGCTTGCACACAAGACAAACTTTTAAACATGTCAAGTTAGCCTTTAAAAAATGTCTTTAATAGGTAAATAAAATAAATATGACTTATATTTGTAAAAATCTAACCTAATTAGTCTGTTTCTACTCCTACTGATAATAACATTAAATGATTAGAATTTATATTTAAACTTTATTTTTTTTAATGTTGTTTGATTATAAGTTATGACTTATGTTTGAATGATTTAAAGTTATGTTTTGACAATTTAAGGCTTAATTTTTAATTTAATTGTAACAATTTTTTAATGATATTTTTCATTGAATTATTGGTTTTACACATTAGTAAAGTGTAGGTAGTGAGTTAAGTACGAGTATATAAACAAGATGTATGAAAATGGGAATTAAGATTGTTACCTACATAAATATAAAAGCGATACAAGTATTTTTTTTCAAATTCAGGTACAAGTACCCTTCCCCAACCTACCATTGTCATCCCTAAATACGAACACAATAGTTTGAAAGTGGAGAAAAAAACTTAGATGAGTAATATTTTTCATCCATTTATCAAAGGATGTATTTGAATTAATCATTAAAGTAAATATAATATTGAGGAGTTAAGGTAGTATGTATAAAATCTTAAATTCAAATTTTATTTTTGTCATTTAAAAATGATGTAATCAAATTTTAGTGGAAGTGTTGATCCAAAATAAATATAATTTCAACTAATAAATTTTCTAATAAAATACAATAAATCTTGATAAAAAAAAAGTATTTTTTTTCCTTTTAACAAAATCATATTTTTTTTCATTTAATAATAGTAAATCATTCAAATCCTATTTTGAACATAACATTATTATGAATTATTCAACTTATATTATTTTTAATCTATAACCTATAACATTAATAAATAAAAAAATCATATCTTTGTATAAACATTTGTTCAATAAATTTTTATCTTTGACTTATTATTATGATAATCGTACATTGTCTTTTTTTTTCTAGAAGGTATAAATTATGACTTTTTTCTTGCTGATTTTATCTTTGAATTACTCATTTTGTAACTACACATTCCCGACCATTCAATTGATGAGATATTTTCATCACTAATTGCTCACTGTTTACCAAAGAAAACCAACACAAAAACATTATTTCTTTAACACTTCTAACATAAAATAAAGACAAAAGTTAACTTTAACATGTGGCCAACTGTGATCCACTAATTTTGTCCTTTAGATTAAGTTGAGACATATGTTAGTGTGATGTACCTTCTGTACTATATATTATCACCTCTTTTCCTATGGAGAGGCTAACCATCATGCACCGTCGTCGGAGATAATTTCTAGCAACCGTGAAACTTTTTAACTTTTCCCCCTCTCCTTCTCTTTTTTTTGTTCCCTTCTTATTTAATGGAATTGATTCTTTTTATCTGCGCAAGTTTTATTAAAAGGAAGTGAACAAGCACTGTGGGTGGGGGCAACTATACACATATTTTTTTTATAAAATAATAATATATTTTTAAAAATAAATATTATATTTTAATAAAATAAATAAATATATTATTTAAATTATCATATATATAAAATATAAATTTAAAATATTTGTTCATTTAATTGATATTTATCAAACTTTTAAAGGAGATCGGTTCTCATATGTGATAAAAAATACTCATTAATAACGAATTAATTTTTTAAAAAGTTTAATTTTTGATAAAAATAAAATTTGTAACATGTATGTTTTACCTTTTATACTTTCTATTTATGCATACATTAATTAAAAAAATCAAAATAAGAAAAATTATATACATTGATTAAAAAATTTAAAATAGGAAATATTGGAAGATATTCTATTTAGAATTTTTATTATAAAATATATTTTGAAATAAATTATCATTCAAAAAATTATATTAGATATAAAATATGTTTATATCATAAATAAATTACACTTGATTTTTATACAATTTAACATGTTTATTATGTTTTTATTAGTATTAAATTATTATAAACTATATTTTTAGGATTGTAGTTCTAACCAAATATTTAAAAAATATCTATGATAGATAAATAAGTCATATTTAGGATACATTTAAAAAAAAAATTAAGTTCAAACTTACTAAATTATAATATAACATAGTCAAACCTAATTTATTTTATAATAATTGATATAATTTTAAAAAAATTATAATATATATTTATACTTTTAAAAGTTATATATAAAATTTTTAATAATATAAATATATAAATAAATATTGTCCTCATTATCTAAAAATTTTGGATCTGTCACTGAATAAATGAGGGTTTTATCTGGTTTAAATATACATATCTAATTTGGAAAAAGGAATTTACATATCTGAAAGATGAAGAAGGAAAAAAGAAAAGGGAGAAGAAAGAGGGAAAAAGAAGTTCATTAGAAATACTCTCCACAAGTGTGTAGTGGTGGGATAGGAAAGAAAAGGGAGAAGGAAAAAAAAAGTTCATCATCTACCTTCGACAACAACATACAATGATTCAAGTAATGTGGTTGGGAGGGATTGAACAGAAAAAGTACAAAAGAAAAAAAGGAAAAAATTTCATCCATTATTTTGCAATGATGCAAATCTAACGACTTACAGTTCTTTTCCATAATAGGAGACAAATGTAGTCTCATATCCTAGAATCCGTCCGAAACTAAAATCCAATTAAAAGAAACATAAGCAATCCATGTCATATCTTAATAGGCATCCATCATTAATTATTTAAACAGAGCTAACAAAATTTAAACATTAATATTAATTAAACAAAATTGAGATTAAATTGACTCATTTAAAAATAATGAGAATAGACTGAAACAAAAATAAATAAATAAAGAGACCCAATGAATAATTTAACAAAAATTTGTATACAAATTTAATTTTTTTTAGTTCTTTTATTTTAACATAAACATGTTATTTTGATTCCTATTAAAAATTAAAATCACAATATTTTTAAATGTAAAATCGAAGGTCCAGTAAGATTAATTAAAGTATGTTACTAGATCGTATGTATAATTGACTTTATAAGAATCGGTGTAACTCGACCAATTATCATGTCAAATCGATGAGTTAGAGTAAGTCGGTTAATCTTTGGTGATTATAACATGATTGACATAGTGTATATAGATGTTTTAAAAAAATATATATAATAAAAGGATTATATGCAAGAATTGAACCTTGATTAGTATAATATATATAGATGTTTTGAATATATATATATATATGTGTGTGTATGTGTGTGAGTTAATCACCCATACACAGTGTAACATTTTTTTACATCGACAACTAATCATATATTTTAATAGTGTCATGTCATTTACTTATTTAATCAAATAAAAAAAATTTAAAATATATGATTGGTTGTCAGTGTAAAAAACTTTACACTAGCAGTGTATAGATGATTAACTCTCTCTCTCTCTCTATATATATATATATATGAGTTAATCACCTATACACTGCCAGTGTAATTTTTTTTACAATGAAAACCAATTATATCTTTTAATTATGTCATGTCATTATAAACACATTACACTGACAATGTAAAAAAAGATATAATAACAGTGACATGACACAATTAAAAGATATAATTAATTGCCAGTTTAAAATTTTTTTACACTAATAGTTTATAAGTGATTAACTCTCTCTCTATATATATATAATAAAAGAATTATATCTAAGAATTGAACCTTAAAGTCAAGAGTTGAGAAGCGATAACTCGATTACTATCTTATCAAAATTTATATTTATATGTTTGAAAAACACAAAATATATAATTAAGTTAAATTTTATTTATATCAATTTATGTGATTCAACTAATCACTAATTTTATAAGTGAATGTGATTAAAGAACATTACAGTAATTAATAAACTAATATATTTTATTGTTATACAATTGATTTTAATAATTAATATCGTATATTTTTAATTTAAAATTATATATTTGATTATATATTAAATTATACATTTCAACTATTCTATAACTTATGTCAATATTATATTGATTACAACTTTTTAAAAAAGTTATATATATATATATAATATAATATGATATAAATATTTTAAAAAGTAATAAAAATCAAATTATATAATTTAATTAGCGACTACTTTTATTCATTAACCTAGTGCCCTCATTAGTCTAGTGTGGTATTTTGAAAACATTGGATATCCTTTCAATTATTAGCACGGATCAAACATGTCTTTGTTTTTATTTTTATTTTTCCATGTCTTTATCTTCCTCGTTTTCCAATTGGCTTATTTGGTCGGAAACATAGATCTTAGGAAGGCAAAGTGTTAATAAATTGACTTTTGGTCTTCTTCTTCCCAACAACGTTGTTAGTTATGCGTACTTGCTTCTTCATGAAGCTTTGTGATTGAAGAAAAAAAAGACTGAGATTGAAGCAATGTCTTGGGAAGAAGCTCTTTATACTCTTTTAACCAAAACATTCACAGTTCTTGCCTGGTACTCAAACTCTTCTCTTCATTTTTTTTTGTTATCAATTATTTGAAATTTTAGTCACAGTAAATTATAAACGTTAGTTTCAGAGGTCTGATTATCTAACTTTGATGTCTTCAATTTTTAATTTTTTTTTTACTTGCAGGCCTCCGTTTAGTTTGCTTTGTCCATTGTAAGTAGCAACTCATGGGTCCTCTTATTTCTTCATTAAATAAAAAAGCTTTCTTTTTTTGAAAAAAAAAAAAAAAAAAAAAAAAAAAAAGCTAAAACTTATTTATTTAATTTTTGCAGGTTCGTTTCCGTTCGGGCAATGGAGAGTGATTCCCATTCCAGCAACCAGCGATGCCTTGTTTTTTGGGTTCTGTTTTCCTTCTCAATGATCATGGAATGGGAACTTTCTGTGTTATTCAACTGGTAATTTCTTTTTATGCTGAGAATTTAATTTTGAGTACAAATTAGTTTACTCTGATCATTAAACTCATTTAACTGTTAATGCAGACTTTGAAAATTTTATTTCCAACTATAACTTCCAAATTCGGTATCTTTAATCAAACTCATAATTCAAGTCAAAGTTAGGTTCTTGGTCGCAGTGAGCTTGACCGTTGTATTGTTCACTGAAATGATTCCATTCTGGTATGGTACTTTAGGGTTGTAATTTGTTTAACATCGCTATCTTATTTTTATTATTCTTTTCTTGTTGGAGATATTCGGGGTTGTTCAACATAAAGGTTCACCAACTGTGTTACTGGAACCTTGCTTCTCTCTCCAGTTGTGTTGCCTTTCACAAAATTCCATTTATATGAAGTATTTTTGAGATGGTACTGCCAGTGCATAATTTGGCATCACACATTCACGTGCATGTTATGTTGGTTTGCTTTGGTGTTTCTTTTGAGCATTTTGTGGTCTATTTCTGTCTTTAACTTCTTTACCTGAAATTATTTCTAGGAATAAAGTCGAGTCTGAATGATCATGAGTATTGAGTGTTAATAGAAACTAGAAAACAATTTTTTAAAAGGAAATAAAAATAAAAAGTTAGCTCATGGGTGGCAGTGGCAGGGTTAGGAAACCACAACAACAATAGCCATACCCTACTTGATGAGGTTGACTGCATGGACCCACAATGAGATCCCTTGCAATAAGTTCCTCCAATGTTCTTCTTGGGCTCCCTCTATCCTTTTTTCAACACTAAAAAGCCATGCAGACTACCCTCTTCACCAATGTCTCCGATGGCCTTCTTTGTATGTGTTCAAATCACCTTAATTGATTTTTTGGTTGTTTTTTCCCAATAGGTGTCAGTGTGTGACATCACTATCTCTTCGTATTCAATCATTTCATATTCTTGCATGATCACACATCCACCTTAACATAATCATTTATGCTATTCCCATGTTTTTCTCTTCTTGTGCCTTTAAAGGCCAACATTTACTTCCATAAAGTACAACTAGTTGTATAGCAATACCATAAAACTTCTCTTTAAACTTGGTAGATAGTTTACCGTCACAAATAACCCCTTATGTCTTTTGTCATTTTAACCACCTAGCTTGTATCATGTCATCATGTGTGACATCCTCGTTAATTTTCTCATGTTGATCCCAATTACTTTAACTTAGAAGCTTGTGGTATGACATCTTTTCCAATTTTTTTTACCTCCAAGTTAGTTTCCTCTTGCTTCTTACTAAGATTACAAAGCATATACTCTGTCTTACTCCTACTCAAGCAAAAATCCTCTGGTTTTAATGTCTGTTCCCAAAACTCTAGCATATAGTTAACCTCTTTCCTTGATTCCCCAATTATAATTATATCATCTGCAAAAAAAATGCATTTAGTGATGATCTTTTGCATCTCACTGACAGGGTTAAGAGAGAAAAATAAAAATTAGTAAACTAAACTTAATAGTTCATCCTCGTACAATCATTATATGCTGCATGGAACCAATCATAACTTGTGCTTATGGTTGAAATCCCGATCTTATGGTTTTCTGCTACCATTTTTATTCTCATTTTTAATTTGGTTGCTTTTACAGCCTCCCGTGGTGGCCCCATGTGAAATCCGTAGCAACTATCTTGCTGTTGACACCTTATGTTGGTGCAGCATCATATGTCTACAAATTCGTAATTAGACACTACTTTACTTGGAACCTATATAAAAGGGCATCAACCGAATTCAGTCAGAAAAGCACGCATTTTGAATCAGATGAGATTAGTAAACCTGTTGATGCCTCTGACCAGCCAATTCCGACAAGACACATACAAGAAAAGAAACTTGAAGCATATCATCAGGTATTGGTTTCAAGCTTTTGCCCGAGTATTTTTCATTCACCATTGCAGCAAATTACTGACAACTCATTTGAAAGTGTTAAGATTTTAGCTTTAATTTGTTTTCTGCTTTTAATTTATTAATCTATCTTTTAACTCCAAATAAGCCCATTGTAATGCCAAATGTCGTGGTGAGTTTTCACTTGCAATTAAATTGTAAATGTGTTTAGATGTAATATGGTAATCAAGCTTTTGCCCCAGTATTTTTCATTTATCATTGCAGAAAATTACTGACAACTTATTTGAAAATGTTAAGGTTTTAGCTATAATTTGTATTCTGCTTTTACTTTCTCAATTATCTGTTAACCCCAAATATGCAATTGTCATGCTAAATGTCATGGTGAGTTTTCACTTGCAATTATATTGTAAATTTGTTTAGATGTAATATGGTAATCACCATCTACAAAAAGGTTCCTGCTTCCTATTCATTCCTTCCAAGTCAGATTGTCATTTATTCTAACTCTATTTTGTCATTGTAGTAGATATAATATAATTTTCTTTCTAAAAAAATTGTTTGCATCAGGAGATAGATGATCTTGCTGGCTGTGACAAGACAGAAAGCAGTTATAGAAGGGTAACTGGTATAATGCTAATCCAGAAGGAATGGAGCTGTGCTTTATGTCAGATTAGTACCACCAGTGAAAATTGCTTAAGGACACATCTTAATGGGAAGAAACACAAGGCTAAGGAAGAAGAGCATAGAGTTGAGTTTCATGTAACAAATAGCGCATACCTGTTATCCTCTACTCAAAAAAGCAGCAAAGGGATGGTTCTACTAAGGAATCTCAACCAAATTGCAAACATTCTCAATCCAGTTTCCAGATCCATGAGATGGTGTGAATGGACAAAGCCAGAGTTTGGATGGACAAAATTAAATACTGATGGTTCTTTACATAGAGAAACTGCTAGTTTTGGGGGGCTGCTTCGTGATTACCGTGGTGAACCAATCTGTGCTTTTGTCTCCAAAGCTCCTCAAGGTGATGTTTTTTTTGTTGAGCTGTGGGCCATATGGAGAGGCCTTGTTCTTTGCTTAGGTCTTGGGATTAAATCAATATGGGTGGAATCAGACTCTATGAGTGTTGTGAAGACAGTTAATAGAAAACAACTTTGTCCAAAAGCTGATAGCTATTTGAAACAAATCTGGAAGCTATTAAAGAAGTTTGATAAATACAGAATTTCTCACTCATGGCGTGAAACTAATAGAGCAGCTGATCATCTTGCTAAGATGGCTCTTTGGGGAGACGACGTGGTTTTGTGGCCAGTTGATTTTCCACCTAGCCTTTGCAGCATCATAAAAGATGATGCCGAAGGGAAGAAGTATCTTAGACGATGATATCTAACTCTCAATGTTTGTTTCAGATTGCCATATGAATGGGATGGTTATGGAGGTAAGAAACTAAGAAAAGATAACAAACAAAACTAGAAACTGTAAGTGGAAACTTATGCTGAAGCTTCCATTAGGAGGGTATCAACATGATTGTTTTAGACTCCACAAAATTAAAGATGGATGTATAGAGTTGATGCCACCGGTAAGTTATATTAGCAACGTTGTAGATAACAAATCTAAATCCAGGCTTTAACTGCTTAATGATATTGTTATGATCCCACATTGGTTGAGTATAGGGCCAAAATATACTTATAAGCTGTGTTTTGGTGTTGACTGTTGAGTTATGCCTTCTACATTTTCAATTTTGATGTGGTGCAGAAAATCCTAGTCCTAGTATTGGGATTGGGAGTGTTAAGATCCTATATCGCTTCTGTATATAATAATGGCTTGAAATCATTTATTCTGCTAACTTTTTGGGTTGAGTTAACACCATGGGTAGAAAAATAAAATAAAATAAAGCCATATCCGATGCCCCTTATGCTTGCTATACTCCTTTGGCGACGAACTTATTCATAACTCCAGTTTAATAAGTTTACTCAACCCAAGCTCCTCCATTGAAGGTACCAATACTCTCGGTCTGTTTTAGACGAAATAAACTAGTGTCAAATACACTAATATATTTCTTGTAAACATAAACTGGATGTAGTATTAGGTTAATGGTATAAGCAAATATACTTGTAACTACTATATTTATATCTTATAATAGTAAAAAAGATTACGTAAATTTACCTATTTCTTTTTACTAGCAAAGACAACTTTTTTTCTTCTTTTTTGCTTGATTTTATTGTTTAATTCATTTTTCTTATTTCCTTTTCTTCACCAAAAGTATAAACAAGACTAAAATTTGACTATCAAACTTAGTTTCCCACTAATGTGAAATATCTTCGCCTCAAAACATTACAAAGTTACTACTTGAGCTAATAACGGTGAACTAAGATATTCACAACGAAAATGACCAGGTACGAAGTTTATTCATTGTTGCATAGAAGTTATATTTGCAAGTAATCAGCTGAATAAGCAGGAAATCATTGCAGGGCAAAACGGTTAATTGAAAAACTGCCAACGGCATTTCCCATTGCAAATATACGACTGTACACATATTAACATGATATGAACTTAAAAACTTAAACCCCCTGTACCACTCAATTCTATTTTAAAATACTCCTAACCTAAAAATGTAATACAAAGTATTTTATCCCCCCTCCCCACTGAAACTTGTCAACCAAATCCAAAACCCTCACTTCCTTCGTGAATTGCCAGCAGTAACCTCTCTTCTAAATGTTGTTTAGATGGATACTCGGGCAAATCTAACTGATTGAAACTGCATGAAGAAAATTCAGTTTTTATTATTTCAAATCACTTGACTATAATAATGATCCGTCAAAATAACATTATGGGGAATTTCTATGGGGCTTAAGAGACATACCATGTATGAGCAGAAGGTAAGTGATCAGGACTTCCATATGCTTTGTGTATTTGAAACTTCTGGGAGCCTGAAATTCCTTGAAGAGCGCTAAAGCCTTCCAAAGGCACCTGAAACATAAGTGGCAAAAATCAGACACCCATATTGCATTATAAAAGTTTTGACGCCTTCAAGTTTGCAAAAAATAAGGTGCCAACATCATAAAAACATAATATAATTACCCAATACATAAAATCATTAAAATTAAAGGAAGAGTTTTAATATATCAATTTATTTTATACTCAATAGAATTTATAAAAAATGAAACAGAACAGACATGAAAACCAGTCTAGATATTTTGTATTTAAATGAAGGCGCAAAAAGCTCAATTTGTGGGTTTCATTAAGAAAAAATTATGAGCTTCTTCAGCGGTTCAGCCAGTCCTAGTAGACCCACCAACAGAGCAGAAAGAAAAGAGACACTGGATGCACAATCACAGACGAAAAACTCTCATGCCAAAGAACGGAGATGCCCCATTGTATAACAGAGAAATTAGTTCAAAAGAGCAGGGAACAAATGGGAGAGGTGGTTTGGGACAAGATCTACAAGTTAGAAGGGATTTTGAATGGGTTGTTTTTAGAGAAGGCTTCAAGGGTTTACAGTAAAGAGGGATCTAGGGCAAATATAAAAGCAAACAACAAAATGAGTCTTTTGGCTTTCAGATCATTCACACCAAGAGCCCAGATCCCACAATAGTCAAAACTAGAAAAATCCACGATCCATCGAGTATGATAAGCTATTTCAATCTGATCCTACAAACTCTCGAACCCACCCAGAATCCAGCAGCCCGGAGAGGCTTCCACAACGTGACTGTGCAATTCTATGATCTTAATCACAATTTAGCAACATTACTTAGATCTTTGTATGTATTCAGGAGATAAACCAAGTCTTATATCAATCCATATCGCAGATCACTCAAATTACAGCTATCACAAAAATATCTGCTGCTGCAGCTCTCAATCATGTGAGACTCACTATTGACTAAAATGCTTCAGAAACAAATTGAAAACATGAATGGGTATAACTCTACATGGAATATGTTCAAACACTCGAAAAACAACCGGAAAATTAGTAGCTAATAAAAGATTAATATGTTCAAAGCTCTGGATAGCAATATACCTTCGATGTGCCTGTCACAAACTGCAATAGACGAGCCTTGTCTTCTTTGCTGAAACCTTGAACAACCTCCCAAAACCATTGGATAACAGGCGATGCAGCACTGTATCCAGAATATTCTGTATTTGCTCTTAAGTCATCCACTGAAATAAAATAATTAACAGTTAAAATTTTCCATTCCATGCAATTTAGATACCAGTAAAGATAACATGTGGAGAGAGAAAATAAAAATAAATCACATTCATTAAAGCAATATAAAGCAATGAAAGCCTCACAATCAATATCAGGAAGTCCACTGATCAATAATTCCAGTTCTTTGTCATTGAATATTGATATCAACTCCCTGGGAATCAATTCATTGAACCCTTCCAAGAAAGAATTTATCTGAGGTCGAATAGCAGTTGTCAACCGATGCTCAGCAACCAAGTCAACATATTGATGCTTATTCTCCTCAGTAACTTTGATGTTCCGACCACCAGGAATCAACTCGTAATCAGTCACCTAGATATTTCCATCATGATTAGACTATAATAATACATAATCTAATAATCCATTTCAAAGATTTAAGAGCACAGTCAATACTTCTGTTCGTTCATATAAGATCAATTTTTCCTCATCTGCGTCAATGCTAAAAGTAAGATCCAGAACATCACTGATATCATTCTGCAATCACACCAGAAACACAAATAAACATCACAATTTAAGCAATAAACAAAATATGATAAGAATACAGAGGGGAAGAAACTACATAAATGCACTTGCCTCAAGCATCCATTTCAAATTTTTGAAATAATCAGGATCAATGGCTTCAATATCATGATATGTAACTTTGACCCCAAGAATGTGCTTGTAGAATGACCGAGTAAAATGGACATCCAAGAGTTGACCATCAAATAATGCTTTACCAACCTGGATAAGATAGAAAGGATGTCAAAAAAAGAATCACACGAGACCGACTAAAAAATTCAACACAGTTTAAAAGGGACTCACCACTCTACCAACAAACTTGAAATAAGACAAATGTTCTGTTTGATAAACAGAATTAGGGTTCGGCTGAAATGTTGATTCATTGCCCACTGTAGTAAAAAGAAGTGCTCCTTTATCAAAAATAACTCTGGATAACAATTGATACCATTCCCTAGTAAGCCCACCAGCATCAATACCCTCCTCCCCTTGGAAGTGAACAGTCAACCTTCCCTTCAAATCTTGAGTTGATCTCATGCGAAGCTGGTTATAAGAATCTTCTAAAACATATGCCCTTCTCACTGATATTCTCAAGGGGCTATGGTGATGGTCATGCTGATGCTTAATTTTTGATCGGAAATGGGCACGCTTGTTATCAAAATCAATAAATCTTGGAACCTTCAGCATGAGTGAGAAAGATTTCTCGAGCAAACCAGGGTTTTGCCTTATAAAGGCATTTAGTAGCTTCCTGTGCTTCTCTGAGAACCGGACAAAAGCCACATGTTTCTCATCTACTTTCACGGAAGTTCCAGATGCTTTCTGTGGAGTTGCAGATGTGCTGGCATATTCAACATCAGAAATAACAGGAATACTTGAGTCATGACTAGCACCAGGCTGAGCAGGATGCAATTTCTCACAAACCACAAAGAAAGATTCAATGTAGGGTAAGATATTTTGGGAGCCAGCTGGAAGTGGAGGCATGACACCAGACGGTTTAGACACAAATGTTCTAGAGGATGTCAAAAGCTCAGATGTAGACTCAGAGTAGGATTCTATCTTGCTTATGCAACAGCTCAGCTCATGCCACAAGGGCTCTAAAGCTGAATTGATTTCCCAAACCTCAGAAAGAGCAGCAGGTGTATCTCTATCATTATCTTTCTCAGTCAATAAGGTGACAAGGGAACTCAAGGCTTGCAAAACTCTCAAAATAGCAGCTCCATCACTTGAAGAAGTACTAAGTAAAGCTTTCATTGCTTCACTAAAGACACGTAACTCATCCATTGCAGATGAAGTCAACTTTTGAACTGCTTCTGCCAGCTCAGTAACAAAAAGCTCACAATGAGTTGGAGCAATGGCCACCAATTTCTTCATTACCTCCGCAACAAGAGTATATGCATTATCTGACAAACTGGGAGAAATGTATAAAATGTCAGACCAACTCCACATTTACTAAAACATTGTATCTACAACAATATAGCAAGACCAATCTGGTCTGATTGGTGATTAATATCAACTGTGGCATTACAAACAGGAAAAAAAAAAATATATATATATATATGAACAAAACTGACGTAATTTAAAATTAGTTTGATGCTCCCGAGTCATGAGTTTAATTACCCCCACCCCACCCCTCTGCAAAATACAGAAGCCCCTAGTGATAGTGAATAGATCCACAAACTAGATATATTGACAACAGGTATATGCCTAACAAAAAAAATTGACAACAGGTATAAGCACACATGCATACCCTTCTTGAGCAAGCAGTGAGCACATGAGCCGGAGTTCTGCTTTTGGAAGATCACTCAATACTCCATGTGACTCGCATTCAACATTAATACCAGAGGACGTGGGTTTGGAGGAATCATCAGCTTTAGTAGATACATCATTGCCAGAAGGTAAAATATTAGAATTTGCATTCACATCTGCCTCCACAATAGAA